CACGGACCCCGGGGAGCTGGCGACGCCCCCTTGGCGGCTGCGGTCGCCGCCAGCGAGGCCCCGGCGCCCGCTGGACCCGGCGGGCCGCGCGGAGGCGCGGCCGAGGGCGCGCGGGCGGCCACCGGCGCCAGAGCGCGCCCCGCCACTGGAGCGCCCCTCGGCGGCGCTTCGGGAGCGGCCCCGGCGCAGCTCCTCGCCAGGGGCGCCCCGGCCGGCGGCGCCGAGCCAGCGAACCGCCGCGCAGCGCCATGCCCCTCCGATCGGCCAGGCCGGCGCCTGGGCCGGCGGGCCGGCCGCCGGCTGCCGCGGGGCGGCCAGCTGCGGACCCCGCGCCGGCAGGGGCGAGGGTGCCGACGACCCCCCCGAGGAGACCGAATCCGCGGCTGACGCCGGCAGATGGCGCGAGGACGCCGCCCCCCCCCCGGCGGCGGCGAGGGCGGCGGCCGGTGGGTGAGGCAGCCCGCCGGCCCGCAGCTGCGCCAGCGCCGGTCGCGCGTGAGCAGCCCCAGCGCGCCGCCTGCGAGGCGCCGCCGGCTCCGGCACCGGCGGCCGGCGCGCGACGCAGCGCCAGCGACAGCGCGCGGCCCCGCCGCCAGCGTAGGCGCCATAGCAGACGAGGACGCAGCGGCCCCAGGAGGGCGCCCGCAGCGACGCGCGCGCCTGCGCCGACAGCGCCGAGGGAGCCGCGGGGCAGCCGATCGGGACGCAGCAGAGCGCCGAAGCCGGCTGCGCCGAAGCCGGCCGCGCCGAAGCCAGCTGCGCCGACGCCGGCTGCGCCCGCAGCGCTGCGCGCGTCGAATTCTATAGCGGCGCCGAAGGGGCCGGGGGAGAGCCCAAGGCCCCCGCGCGCGGCGCCCACGCAGCCCCCGGACGCGGCGCCCACGCAGCAGGGGCGACAGCAGCAGCCCCAGCCGGCAGAAGCGGCCGCGGGCGAGCGCGCCGCTCCTCAAGGATGGGGCGCTTCTGGCAGCCCCGGCGGCGCCGACCGCGCCTGCCCCCCCAGCCCGGGTCGCCGCGGCGAGGGCGGCGGCTCCGCGGGGCCCCGGCAGCTCCGACAGCAGCTCCTGCCCCAGCGGCAGCAGCGAGGACTGCGGCGGCCGGGCCCCCGCGCCGGCAGCGGGGCCAGCAGCGGCGGCAGCGCCGGCATGCAGCTGGACACGGCGGCGCCGGGGCTGCTGGGGAGGGGTGGGGCGGCGCCGCGAGGCGCGGAGCACCAGCGCCAGCTGCCCCCCCCGCCACGCCGGGCCCGGTCGGGGCGCCTTCGGCGGAGGCGGTGCAGGCGGCGCGCCGGGTCTTGGAAGCCGCGAGGGGGAGACGAGCGCCCCGCCGCCGCGCTCGCCGCGCCAGGCCCGAGCGGGGAGAGTGGCGCTGACCTTCGCACGGAGGAGTTGACGCACCGGGCGGGCACCGGCCGCAGGGCGACGGACCTTGACCCGGGAGGGGCGACGGGCACCGGCCTCAGGGAGGCCACGGGCACCGGCCCCAGGGAGACAGGCGGCGCGGCCGCGCGCGCGCGAGGGGCCGCTGCCGGTGCCGGCGGTGGCATGGGCGCCGGCGAGCACGGCATCGAGGCCGACCTCGACTGGGCGGCTGCCCGGGCGCCTCCTCGCCGCGGGCCCGCCCCTGCGCGGGCTCGGCACCGCCTGCCCAGACCGCGGCGGCGACGCCGCCGCGGCAGCAGGGCGCGCCGCGGCCAGCCGGGCTGCCCGCGGGGCAGAGGGAGAGCTGGGCCGACGCCGAGGACGACGCCGAGGGCGACGCCGACGGCGCGCAGGCGGCGGCCGGCGAGCTGAAGCAGGCGCCGGCTTGGGCCTCGGGGCCGGCCGCGGCGCTGGGCCGCAGCGTGGGGCTTGGTGGTGCCCCCCGACGGCGCCGCCCCCGGAGGAGGCGACGAGGCTGCCCATGCATCCATGGGGTTATAACTCGCGACGAGCTGCTCGGGGCAGTCCGCGGCCACCTGGACGCGCGACATTGGGGGTGCGCCTGCGCGGCCGCTGCCTCCGGGAGGCTCGGCGGGCGCTCCTGGAGGCCACCGCGGGGGCGCCCGCGCGGGACGCAGCGGCGGCCACCGCGAGGGGCAGGCAGCTGCAAGCAGCTGCCGAGGCCGCCAGGCCGGCCCGGCCCACCGAGCCGGCTATAGGGCCGCCAGCCCGCGCCGGGCGCTGAGCTCCGCTCGCGCCGGCGCGCCCGCGGCTGCTGCCTTAATTATGCGGGGGCCGCGCGCGGCGGCGGCTCCGCCGCCCCCCCGGCGCCGCGCGAGCCCGGCGGGCGGCTGAGCGCGCGGCCCGGGCTCCGTCGTGTCGTCCTTCGTCGTCGTCGTTCCCTTCCCCCCTGCCACTGGGCGCTCTCTGGATGAACGAAAGAAAGTGCGGGGGGGGGGGGCCGACATGGGGGCGGCGGTGTCATGCGAACGCAGCCATTGCGGCCGTCGGTGGGGCCCCCCATGGAGCCAGGTGTGCTGGCACGGGCGCGGAAATGCCATGCGAACTTCGCCGCTGAGGCCTTCGGTGGAGCTTCCTATGGTTTCGCGAACCGTGTGAGAGATGTGCCGACATGGGCGGGGGGGGGGGGGGCGCATGCGAGCGTCGCCATTAGGGCCTTTTGGTGGAGCTCCCTACGTGATGGGCGGGAGAGACGCGTGCGAACGTCGCCACTGGGACTAGGCGATCCCCCTTTGGGGGGCCACAAGCCGTGTGAGGGGTGCGCCGTCATGGGAGGGGGGGACGCATGCCAACGTCGGTAGTGGGGCATTCGGTAGAGCTCCTTGTGGGGCCACGAGCCGTGTGATGGGTGTGCTGTAATGGGCGGTGACAACGCATGCGGCCGTCGCCACTGGAGCTTACGGTTGACCTCCCTTTGTGGGCACGAACATTGTGAGGGATGTGTCGACATGGGCGGGGGAGACGCATCTGAACGTCGTCATTGAGGTTTTCGGTGAAGCTTCCTACGGGGCCACGAGCCATGTAATAGGTGTGTCGGCATGGGCGGGGAAGACGCAGGTGTGCGTCGCCATTGGGGCCGTGGGCGGGGCCACCTATGGGGACACGAACCGTGTGAGAAGGCGGTGTGGTGGGTGGGGAAGGTGCATGTGTGCGTCTCCACTGGGGCCTTCGGCGGGATTCCCACTGAGGCAATGCACCGTGTGACAGGGTGTGCCCTAATGGACGGGGGAGACGCATGCGAACGTCGCCATTTGGGCCTCCGGTTGGGCTACCTATGGGGCCACGGACCGCGTGAGGAGTGCCGAAACCGGCAGACGACGACGATGTTGGTGATGACGATGGTGACATGCTGAGGGCAGAAGCAAGAATGGGTTGAGGACGAGGTGAGGGGATGAGGAAGGATGAGAAAGCGATGATCCCAATCTATTCGACGCTTAAGCGACCCGCCGTCGAGCGGGAAAAACACAATCCCCACGGGACAGAAAAGCTCACGCGAGCTGCAGATCGGCGTTCGCGCCAGGGACGCGGCTCTCTTGCCATGGCCATTGTCCAGAGCATCGGCGTTGCCATTCATATTCTCAATCTTATTGCCCGCCGTCCCGCCCCCAAAAATTGTAGATACCCTTCCCCCCCTCCATCTCGCATCGCATTGCGCCGCATTGTTCCATTCCTCGTCTTCAGATGTCCATGCAGGCGCCGAGTGGACCAACGCAAAGAACTATGCAGACACCAATCGTGGCAAACGTAAAGCACGATTACGCATTGCGACGCTCTTCTGTTGTTTCGAAGAAACAGAATAGAAGAAGCCCGCGACACAGCAGCAATGTTAGGACATGCGGTGCCGAGCGCCATTCTGATTAACTGTGTGTCCTCTGTCATCTTCCGAGCCGCGGTGCCGACAACTCATGTTTGAAGTGCTCTTCCTGTTCTTCTCAATGTCCAGGGCTGCGGGTCCACGCAAAAGTGGTACATTCTTCCCCGCGCGAATGTTCAGGCCTGCGCAGCATACAATGTGTTCAACACATTTTCTTGTTGCAGCAATCATAGCAGCGCGCCCTGCCCTCCCCGCCCCTGCTCGGCAGGGCTCGGGCAGGCATCCCAGCGCACGCCCCTGCTGCAACCAGTGCAGCTGTTCTTTGCCTTCGCTGCTCCTGGCCTGCCAGGTTGCTCGTGCGGAACCCTGTGCGAACGCCGGTTGAAGGTTGATTTGTGCACGCTCGAGCTCTTCGCTCTTCTCCCCTCCCCCCCTCCTCTTCCTTTCTCTTGTCCCACGATATGACTTGAAATTCTCGATGTGGCCGTCTGGGCCTTCCGGGAGGTGCTACAACACAAGCTTCTGTGGAAAAGCAGGCCGGGCACGTTTCACAACAAATTCGTATCAGACGCCCGTTGGTTGTTCTTCCTCCGCCCCATTCCGTCTTCTTGCCTTGCTGGGTGACCTTGGGAAGGCTGGTCTTGAGTAATTGTCAGGTTCTCTTGTACTTCGCGGCGACTCTTGCTCTGCCTAGCCTGGGTAGGGGAAAAAGTCGCACTGCTGATGATTAGCTCAAGAGTGTAGAGACGCGCGGTGCTCGCACTCACTTCTCGGGTCGCGTTTAAGCGGCCCATTGTCCTCACCCCGAGGTTGCGCAGAGCTTGGTATTGCTGTTAAAAGGTCAGCCTTTAACTTGGGTTAGGTGTGTGTGCGTTGTGTTGTTGTTTGTCTTGAATTCGTCGTATTAGACCATCGAAGCCACTTGCTTAACACCATATTTCAGCTAAGTAGGGCCCTCGTCGCCACCGCTGGATTCGCCTTGACATTCTGGTCGGACCGCACCCTGGGCAGGGTTGTTTGGAGTAGCGGTACGGCAGGTTCGCGTCGTGTTGACTGGCGGCGACCCCAGCGCGGGCGGTTAAGGTTGAACGCCGCCTGTGGCCCAGAATCGGTCCATCTTGGAACGATCCAGCGTTCACTGAGCGGCCGATCGTTCAAGTTTGAACGATCCCCGCGGTGTCAGGAACCAACGCCGGGGTCGACACGACTCGAACCTGCCGTATCGGTACGTTTTGGTTTTCCAGGACCCTCTCAACCTCAGCAGCACCGACGAGAAGATGGAGCGGTACACTCAGGTCAGGGCCCACGTCGGCGGCGCGCCCGGGCGGGGGGGGGGAGTGAGAGGGGGGAGGCCTTCTCAGAAGGCTCGGAAGTCTTCGGGCATTCCGAATAGTCTTCTAAGCTTTTCCCGAGGACGAAGAAAACCGTTCAGGAGGTGCGAGTTTTTCTGATAAGTCCCGCCGCGTTCTGAAAGGGCCTTCTCCTTCGCACCACCCACCGAGCCACCCCAACCCAACCCGAGGGCCCCAATTTGCCCTCCGTTCCCG